CGCTTCTCCTACCTTTGGCTCAAATTCTCTCTCCTGGTCTATTCCACCGTGTTCTGGGTGAGTGATCGGGATGGAGCTGGTGGATCTGGAATTGGGGGGATGGAGAGTATGGGGTGGTCCACACTCCTTGGATGACTCCCACCCCCGATCCGGGGTTGGGTCCGGCTTCAGTCCCTCCAGGGAGGCCGCCGGGAGTTCGAAACGGCTCTTCTCCCCCACTTCCCTGGGAACCGGGATGTTGTGGCGGGCCCAGCTCTGCTCGATTTCAGTCGCCCCAGTCCTCAGCTTTAGAGAGGTTGCCCCCAGGACGCCACTTTGTCCACCTGTACTGCTGCTCACCTATGCGCATCTAGCTGATGGGGTCTGGTTGGTTACCCGTGCCCCCTGTGCATCCTCCGGCTGCTCCGTAGGCGGTTGGTACGATGTTGGCCGCGCCCACCACGCCTGCAGGGTGTGACTCCCCATCAACATAGCAGCGAGAGGTGGTGGTCTGCTTTTGTGCTTGTGGCCACCTGGATTCCAAGTCTGGTCCCTGCTGTTACTTGCCTGAGCCTTCCCTTCGGTCAAGATACTTCTCTTGGGCGTCTTGCTTTCCTCCTTGATGGGAGAAGGATGCACTTGCCTTCTTGGAGCGGGGCGTTCCATCAGACGACTGTGAGGCTCCTAGGTCACCGTTTCCACGAGTTCTGGCTTTTCCCGCGGAACATTAGGATGGAAGTGGTTGCAGACAACCAGGCTTTGAATACTGCCCACCACTTTCTAGCTGAGTGATCTGGGGGAAGTTCCATCATTTCTCTGTTTTCTCATCTGTAACTGGAGACAGTGGTTGTTAAACCTTTGGATGGTTGTGGAAATAAAGTGGAAGTAGTTCAAGTAGACCACAGAGAGCTCAAAAAATGGGATAATAATAACATTATTGTTGTTTTGAATTAGGGTCTCTCTGTGTACCTGCCTCTGTCATTCAAGGGCAGCTACACCTAACTTATTATTATTATTGCTCTTTTTTTTGAGACAGAGTCTTTCTTACACATTTCTGGCTGGCCTAGAGCTCACATTATAGTCCAGGTTAATCTTGAACTCATAGTAATCCTCCTGCCTTAGTCTCCCAAGTACTGGAATTACAATTGTAAAACACCATGTCTGGTGACATCAATGCTATTATGGGCTAGGAATCTAGTCATGAATCATCTAAGCTACCCCAAGGCACTTCCTTTTTCTTTTTCTTTTTCTTTTAGACACTGTCTCTGCTGGTTCTAAACTCACTGTGTAGTTGACAATGACCTTGAAGTCCTGGTCATCCTGTTTCTACCTTCCACACACTGGGTACTGGGATGTGCCACCATCCCTGGCTTACCAGGGCATTTTAGAATCACTGGACCTCAGTGTAGAGATGAGGATATCTTTCCACAGGCTGGTTCTACCCTTACCTCTATGGAATAGGCCCCTGCCTCCAGTGTGTACTGTGATAGGCTTGTCCAGAGATCCCAAAGGGTCCCCTGCAAATAAGTTTCTCCCTCCCTTCCTCTTCTTTCTCTCTCTCCTCTTCCTCAGCTCCTCTTTACATCTCCTCTGTTAGAGGGAGCTGCGGCTGGGTTACCCATCAAGGCTGACTTTGACTGGGACCCCTTTGTGAGGCAACCTTGCTGCAGCCAGCAGATGTTGATTCTAGTCCTGCTATGCCCCGGACTCACTGGCATTTCCTAGGCAAATGATATCTCTGTTTTGGGTCTCAGACTGTTCATTCTAGTCTTTGGCCACCTTCCAGCCCAGTTCTCTGGCTCCAGGTACCTTGAAAGAAAGATAAGCAGCATTGCCAGGGCCCCGAGGGTGGAGGGAGAGAGAGTAGAGATGTTGGGTATAAGTTGCAGAGAGGCTGAAGGTGGGGGTAGATGATTTGAGCTAAATTCAGAGATTCTCAGCCAAAGTCGCATCAGAATTAACTGGGTGGCTTCCAACACTACAGATCCCTGGGCCTTGGCACAAGCATCTCTTAAACTTGTACCTCGGCTCCTCACACCGCTGCGGTTTGCAGTCAGGGCTGAAAACAGCCAGCACAGGAGAACACAGTGCTCCTTCTCAATCGTGTTTTGCCTATATGTCAGATAAAAGGAAAGGCTAAGGGAAAGGGTGGAAAGTTGGGGGTCCCAGTTCCTCTTCCTCCTCCATTCAGTGTGTAACTACTGGCCCAGTCTCTTCACGCCTTCCTTTCTTCACCTGTAAAATGGAAATTTGTTATAGTCTTGCCTTGCACCCTACAACTTCCCTTTTTAGGACTAGCTGATGAGAGAGGGAATGAGGAAAGGGCTATGTGAAGATAAACTGTGGTGGGCCTCACAGCACTCAGGAAGGCTTAAGTTCAAAGCCTACTGAAGCTACACAGTGAGTTTAAGGGCAGCCTGGAGAACTTAGTGAGACTGTCTCAAAATAAAAAGTGAGAAAAGGACTGGGGATGTAGCTTAGTGGTAGAGTATCTGTCTAGCATGTGTTCAAATCCCAGCACTATAGAAAACTCCCAGTTACCAAAACTAAAGGTAGACACAGTTATATGAAACCAAATGAACTTGCAAAGTCAGAGTCATTGTCCCTTGCAGCCCTTGTAGACACCCATGCAGGCTTTTGCTTTTCTTTTCTTGAGGCTGAGTAGGACCCAGAACTTGGAATTTTTCTTCTTTAGCCTACTGAGCTTGCTGTACTCCCATCCCCGGTAGTATTTCTGCTTAAAAATATCTCCCTACTCAGGCCAAGAACTCAGCTGTGGACAAGGCTTCTGGGGTGGCTCCAGGTGCCAGAGTTTGACTGTAGGGTGGCAGCTGCTGCAGGTTAAGTAATTTGTCTGGATTGAGTTTACTGCTAATTGGAAACCATTTATGGAAAAACCTATTGTCTTCATGTCATCTCCTGCCTCACCTCTGGCAAGAGGATGGGTGGGGGCAAGGGTTACTCACTTTAAAAATCAGAAGTGCTTGTGTTTCTGTCTATAAAGATTGGGGCAGTGGTGCATGCCTTTAATTCTAGTACTCAGGAGGCAGAAGCAGGTGAATCTCTGTGGTTTTGAGGCCAGCCTGGTCTATAGAGCTAATTCCAGGACAGCCAGGGAAAAACAAACAAAAAGATAAAGATAATCAGCAAGAACCTTCTGTCAGGCTTGCTCTCTCTTTCATCCTGAGGTTTTTGGTTTTTGTTTTGGGTTTTGTTTGTTTGTTTGTTTGAGACAGGGTTTCTCTGTGTAATAGTCCTGACTGTCCTGGAATTTGCTCTGTAGACCAGACTGGCCTTGAACTCACAGATATCCACTTGCCTCTGCCTCCTAAGTGCTGGGATTAAAGGTATGCACCACCACTGCCCAGCCCCTAAGTTCTTTTTAAAATAGAATGTATTTGTTTTTATTTTGTAAGTGTTTTGTTTACATGGATGTCTGTGCACTAAATGTGTGCCTGGTGCCCTCAGAAGCCAGAATAGTATGCCAGATCTCCATAATTGAAGTTACAGATGGTTATGAGCTGCCAGGTGGGTGGTGGGAATCGAATCCAGATCCTCTGGGAGAGCAGCCAGTGCTCTTAACCACTGAGCCATCTCTCCAGCTCATAACCATGAATTCTTAATCTTCCTGCATTTTCCTCAGAAATCCTGCCATTGCAGGCACGCATCACCATGCCCAGCTTGTAAATGTTTTTCCTTAAAAATTATAAAAGTAGAAAGGGAGGGTGTCTTAGGGTTTTCATTGATATGAGGAGACACCATGACCACAGAAACTCTTACAAAGGAAAACATTTCATTGGGGTGGCTCCCTTACAGTTTCAGAGGTTCAGTCCATTATCATCATGAAGGGGAGCCTGGCACCATGCAGGCAGACATGGTGCTGGAGATCCTAGTACCTAGTAACCTCTTGCAGGTAACAGGAAATGGGCTGAGACACTGGGTGGCATCCTGAGCATAAGAAACCTTAAAGCCGGCCACCACAGTGACACACTTTGTCCATCAAGGCCACACCCACTCCAACAAAACCACACCTCCTAATAGTACCACTCCCTATGAGGTTATGGAGGCCAATTACATTCAAACTACCCCAGAGAGTCGGGGAGATGGCTCAGCCTGATGTCCTGGGTTTGGTCTATGGACTCAGAGGTAGAAGGAGAAAACCATCTGCACAGAGTTGTTCTCTAGCCTCACATATGCCTTGGGACCCACATACCCCAGGTAGAAAAGGAGTGGTGTCTTTGTCTCAAAAATAAGAAATGAAGCAGATGGCCAGTGGCAATCTGCTCTCCCCCTTCCGGCTTGTCTTAAACACAGGGGACCTCTGCTACTAGTTTATTGTAATTTTTTTTTCCCCTGAGGTTATCTGAGGCCAAGAATGGCCTGGGCACAAATATGCATATGCAGTGCATAATATTTATTTATATAAGTATACACACACACACACACACACACACACTGCATAGGGAACTGTGGAGGAACCCCTCACCTTTTCATTTGATGCTTTAATGCTTTTGTTTGGGGGTGGTGGTGGCAAGAGCTCAGCTATCCCAGGCTGGCATGAAATTCATGAAGTATCTGAGGATGACTGTGAACTTCTGATCCTCTTGGATACTAGAATTATAGGTGTGCACCACCACACCCAGTTTATATGATGTTAACAATTGAACGTAGGGCTTTGTGCATGTTAGGCAAACACTACCAACCGAAACAAATCACCAGGACTTTGCTCAAAGTCAAATCTTTGTAAATTTTAGATAACTGCCAGGGTCTGCCTCTGTCATTTAATTATTTTTATTATGTGTGTTTATGGTGTGTATGTACGTATGTGTTGTATGTACCACAACTTGCATTTTAGGTCAGAGGACAACTTTTTATAGTTGGTTCTCTCCTATCTTATCTGGGGCTCAAACTCAGTTTGTTGAGGTTTCGAGGCAAGAGCTTTTACCCACTGAACTATCTCATGAGCCCCAAGGGGATGCCTCTTTCCATTTGGTGGTCTTATAGACTTCACTCTAGGCTGAGCCAAAGTTTATTTAATCTGACCACAGCTGGGGAATTCTGTGGTTGTTTCCAATCTG